AAAATTTCATAAATTAATACAGGTAAATCTCCTCTGTACATGTATTACAATCTACTATAAATATAAACAAAAACAAATTATAAATAAAAATAAATCAATAAATAAATTTAATTAGGCAACACAATTTAATTATAATAAATTTAAACCATCAAAATATATTAACACAAAAAAAAAATCAAAATTTGTTAAAGATATTAGATAGAGAATATTTTATTATTTATATTTATATTTATATCCTTAATTTCCCAACATATCTTTAAAACTCGGTGCTTTCTTTGCAAACTCTTCTCTGTTCTTTTCTTTTCTCCTTCTTAAGTCATTTATTAAGACTTTTGACAGAAAATGTTGGGAGTGTTCAGCAGCTCAATGGTTGCAGCCGGATGCCGGACGAGTTGGTTGCAGCTGGATGTCGGACGAGTTGGTTGCAGCGGATGCCGGACGAGTTGGTTGCATGCAGCGGATGCCGGACGAGTTGGTTGCAGTCGAATGCCGGACTCCATCTCCAAAAATCACGTCGACGGCCCTCTTGAACCGCTTCCTTGAAAAATAAAAAATGAAAGGAGAAATCGGAGATGAGGGGAATGGTGATAGCATTATCGTCACCACCACCCTCACCGATCTGCAGATCTGGGCCCTATCGTCACCAGCACCATTACCGATCTGCAGATCTGGGCACACTCACTCACCTCTGGCCTCCTCCGGTATGTCTTGAATCAAAGATTGAAGATGAGAGGAAAAATCGAAAATGGAAGGAGAAATCGGAGATGAGGGGAAAGGTGAAAGCTTGGATGAGATTTGCTGGTTTTAAGGAGAAGAAGAAGAAGATTTGCCGGCAGGAATGGTTGAAGCAGAGGGAAAGGAATCTGTTTTGGGGAAAGAAATAGAAAGAAATAACAGTGAAGAAACATAACAAAACGCTGTCTTTTGAGTTCAATTTCAAGAAAAACCAAAACATTGATTCACTTTCAAAATACAGTATGAGGAGAAAAAATAGAGAAAGAATTAGGGATTTTACCTGCAGTGATACCTTGCAGACGAAAGAAGGATTACAGTGATGATGAAGAGAGCAGATGGTTTGATGCTGTGTAACTTGCAGAAATAGAAGACCAGAGACAGAATCAAAATCCATAGGAAGAGTCGAAAAGGAAAAAAAAAAAGAGAGAGAGAAAGGCCATAACAACTTACCAGATTCTAACAGCAAGAGGAGTCGAAACCCATATGGAGAGAGAAAAAAAGAGGAGATCTGGGCTTTGATTTTAGATTTTTGATGATGCACGGTAGAGATGTGGCTGAATCTAAAATAGATTGGTGTTAGAGATGGAAGATGGAGAGAGTTCACAATAAGGAGAGGATGAGATCTTGGCCGACTGTGAAAGGGGGTGAATGAGGAGAGAAAGTGAGAAAAATGAAAGTGAAAGTGAAATGAGAAGAAAATACTAAAGAATAACGATGAGTCCATTTGAAACTTTCTAAAAGAGGTGGAGGGAAAGGTTTTGGCGGAGAATCGAAGGATGGAGGAGGTGGGGAGATGAAAATTTTCAGGAGAGGCTGAGAGGGAATGAACGAAATTTCTTAAATTAGGGTTTGTGCTGAATGGAGATGTAATATATTTTATATTTGCTTAAAAAATAATG